ATCAATCAACATACTCAGCCGCATCATCGTCAACATCCTCCTCCTCCTCCTTCTCCTCATCCGCATCCGCCGCCGCTTCCGCCGCCTCTTCCTCCTCCTGCTCCGCCTCCTCCTAGTCGTCATGCGCCTCTTTCCTCCACATCGTTCTCCTCCTCCTCTTCCTCCTCCTCCTGCCCCTCCTCCCCTTGCTATTCCTGCTCCCTCTACGTCTCTCTCCTCCTCCTCCTCCTCCTCCTCCTCATCCTCCTCTTCCTCCTCCTCCTCCTCCTCCTCCTCCTCCTCCTCCTCCTCCTCCAGCTCGATGGGGTGTTGTCCAGGCATCTCTGCGCTCGTTTCAGGGTTGGATTGTCCAGGAATCGTCTTTCGGTGCCGTTCATCGTTGCCCCCGTGCTGTTGTGCATGTTGATGGGGGATTGTGTCATCGAAACAACGGGCTCTTGCATCCAAGGGACATCGCTGACGCCGGGGACCAGACCTATCATACGAGTTGGGGGTCGGAGCCTTACGGTGCCGAATCTCGCGTGGGCATGGCTAACCTTGGTAGGGAAGCAGCTGAACTAGAGCAAATCGTTCCTCCCGAACCTCGGGAAATTCGCAGAGCCGCTAGTCTTGTGAAAGCTCGTGCTGGGTGAGGAGTCTGTCAAGGCAGGCCCCTCGATGTCGCACGACGTCCCGAAAGCGCGCGCCAGGAACTGGCTCACATTTTCGAAGCAGCTGATGAGGTCTCTCACGTGGCCGCGGCAGATGATGATATATGTAGGCCGACATCTTCCGAAGACGCCCGCGGGCAATCGCGTGATCAACATCCTTCCCGTCGTCTGCCGCATCTCAAGTTTTGCCAGCGATGATTCAAGCAAGCACTGGTCGAGGGACACCAAATCCAGCTTGAGATGCGGCTCGTGCAATTGATCCCCCCCGTTGGAAGAGTGTTCTCGGACCCTGGAAGCTGAAGTTACCCGCAAGCTCACGATCGCGTACGGTCAAGCTGCTTTGGATATCAAGAGCTATTATGAATGCACCAGGTTTAAGCAACACTGAATCGCCGCCCTCATGTCGGGTTTTCCACCTCTGCCTCTCGTTCTTGGAGGGATTCCAACCCACACGAAATACTGTGCAGGGTGCTCGAGGAGGGACAAGGTTCGTGAGTTGCCTGACCTACTCTGTTCTAGAGAAGATGCGCATCTTGAATCCAGACTTGGGGGAACATGTTTGGATAGACGATCTGTATCTTGGCGCCGTGGGATTTCAATTTAGCGTGGAGAATGCACTAGTCAAGACCATCGCGGATCGCACGGACCATTTCTCGGAGAGCCAGCGCAATTAGGCCACCGAGAGCGCGGTCCTGTGCTCGCAGCGTCAAGTGGCCAAGCAAGTGGCCGCACATGTGAAGGCACGAGGAATCAGCGCCATAGCAATATTGCAAGCATCGCATCTGGGGATCGACACGGGAGCAGGGAAGCGACAAGCTAGGGCGGTATGACGGCAGCGTGTCGTAAAATCATCACTGCAGCATCACAATCTACGGCGCTATGCAGGCGCATGAGGAAATACCTCGTCAACAAAGATATCCGATGACTTTAGTTTACCAGGGGCGTTATTGAAGAGCTTCGGGGCCACCTCCACCCGTCATGTGGCCGTCTTCCAGCCTCTTGGACACCTGCCGGAGATGTAGTAGTGGGAGCCTTCCGGAGCCGTTTGTGGAGGCGTCTTGGGCGCAACTTGGAAGTCTCTTCGGGCCATCCTGGGGGGCCCTTGGGCCTCCCCCCCCTCCTCCGCCATCTCCCCACCCCCTTCGGGAACCCGCATCCCCTTGCTGCCGCTCGTCGGCTGCAAACCTGGCCCTTCTCACTGACGGGCCCGCGGGCCCGCCGCGCTGCAGCGCCACTTCCTGAGCCTCCTGCCGCTGGGCTCCCCTCTAGGGCACAGCGAGCGGCTCAATTCCCAGGCTCAGCAGGATCGAGCTCGAGCGTCGGACCCAGTGGGGCAGAAGGGTTCACAGAGGCAGGCGATGAAAAATCAAGCACGGCAAACAGGCAAACAGCATGTCTGGAGCTTGCGTGATGGCGAAGCGATCAAGGCCAAAGCAAACATGTTCGGCCTACTTGGGCCCACATCTCTGCAGCGGGAAGGCAGGCGCGAGGCCAAGCGACAGTGAGGAAGGCAGAACGACAGCTTCGCACCTCCTCCACTCCCTGACGCACCTCTCCTCCCCCCCAGATCCCATCCGGCGTGTTGAGGCCGTACATTATCGTCTGGCAGGCCCTGGCAACGGCCACCAGTCCGCTGGGGGCGAAAGTGTTGCCGTATATGGACTTGGTCGCCTTGATGTGAGTCCCAACGACCTCGGAGGGGCGGAAAGTGGGGGACAGGTACCAAAGGAAGGGTTTGGCGACACGCACACAGGGATTGCGCGAGGGGGGGGCTTCCAAGAAGGGAGGGAGTCTTAGCAGGCGGAGGGCTGCTAAGAGGGCCCAGCCTCTTCAAACAACCGCGTCAGAAACCGGCGCAGCCCGCGCGCACACCTCAGCCTTGAAGCCAGGTTAGGTTAGGTCGTCACGTCTGAAAGCGCAACCACAGTAAGCACGCGAGCACCACGCGTGATTGACACCACCGGACAGCGAGAAGAGGAAGGCAGACACTGACAGAACCATACCAGACTTGCTAGCGCCACAGTGAGATAAGCAGTATGCTAGACTCTGCGCAGCGCATCCTGAGAGTACGTGCCGCAACAGAACGCGAACGCCACAACCGTACCGCAACTACGCGCAGCGGACGATGGATCCTGTGGGTATCAAAGCAGCCTGCGAGCACTGCAAGATGACTGCAAACACAGCAACTTCCTCGTAAACACTTCCGTAGCTTGCGAGCACCAAACCAAAACATTGAGCACCGCAGTGACCACGCGACCATCAGATGGAGAGAAAACCCTAGCCCAACCATGACCATACTTAATGCAATACTTAGCCTTCGAGCGCCACATATGTGCGCAACATCATGCAGGACCCTCTTGATGCCACGATCCGCCACGGTGCCCCCTGGCACGTTGAGGCGTGTGAGAATGCCAGGTGCTGCTCTGTAGGGTTTCGACGTATCTAAATGCCCCCTTCTCTACTAGCGGAGTGCCGCGTGCCGCGATCCCTCACGAACCTGATGTAGCCACGAACCCCGACCTTGGAGGACAAGTGGGCGTGACTTGCGAGGAAGAGAAAAACAAAGCAGAAGATGCCTATAGGGTGCATATCGCTGATTCCCGTTTGACGCTGTGCCGCTTTATAGGCGCATTGTGCTGGTTCCCGTGCTGTCCGTTTGACGCTGTGCCACTTAATCGGGGCGTCTCCGACCATCTTGGAGCACTGTTGGGCAGCCTTCGGGCCCTGGGGCGTCTCCGACGACCATCTCGGGGCCGTCATCAGCAGCCTTGGGGCCCCCTCAGGGGGTCTCTGGGGGCTTCCTGGGGACCTCTTGGAAGCTTCTTGGGGCCTCTTGGGGGCCTCTTGGGGCCTGCTGGCGGGTCTTTGGGCGGAGAACCCAAAATGCCGGTCCGTGCTCCCCTCTGGGGCCCATCTTGGGGTGTTCCTGAGGCTTTCTTAAGCCGTCTAAGAGGCCTCGTGGGCCGTTTTGGATGCTTCTTGGGCCGTATGTGCGCTCTCTTGGGTAGGGGGCAAACAAACCTACCTCGCTTTTGACCACCCTCGCTTCCAAGAGATACCAAGCGATGCCAAATTGCAGCCTGTACTGGTCAGGCCGCTTGACGAGGAGGCGCATGGTATGACTTGGTTTTGCCTGGAAGCGAAAGCGGGGTAGGTAATTCATGCTTTGATTGGGGGCGTCTCAGGTCATCTTGGGGGCAATATGTAGCCCTTCTTGGAGGCCTCCCGGGGCGTCTTGGGGGCCATCTTGGGCGTCCTGGACCGGTCTTTCAGCGACGCGTGGCCCTCTTGGACCATCTTGCGGACCATCTTGGGGCCGTCCGTGCCGTCCAGGAGCGCGTCTGCCAAATTGCGGCCGACTTCCGCCGGCGTTCCGCCCGTGGCCGATGGGGGGGCCAAGGGGGGTACCCCCCCAGGGGGAACACACAACGGGACCCCCTCTGCAACGTCGGTGAAAAAACTATGGACCTATGTCCCTACGATGTCCCAAGATGTCCCCAAGACGGCCTAAGAGGCCTCCAAGAGGGTCCCAAGATGGCCAAGGGCGACACCACGATGGCCCAAGAGGCATCCAAGACGGCCGAAGAGGGCCTCTGGAGGGGCACAAGACGGCCTTGGAAGGCCCTTCGACAGCCCAAGACGGTGCCAAGACGGCCCGACAACGACCCACAGACACCCCCATACAGCAAAGAGGGCCCCCACGACAGCCAAAGAAAGCCCCCAGAAGGCCGCAGAGGGTTCCAAGACGGCTCAGATGGGCCCAGCGGAAACTTCAAGACTGCCCCACTGGAGGCCAACACAGCCCACAGACGGCCCAAATGAGTACCATAAGAATTCCTGAAGAAGTGAACACGCAAGATGTCACATGTGACGGCCTTCCTCTTCCCTCTCCTCCTCCTCCTCCTGCTCCTCCTCCTCCTCCTCCTGCTCCTGCTCCTCCTCCTCCTCCTCCTCTTCATCATCATCATCCTCCTCCTGCGCCTCCATTCTTTGTTCTTATGAAGAACACCCCCCTGTCGCACCCCGATGCCAGTCGGAGGGGCGGGCCGGGCATTTCGGCTGAGATCCCTTATCATTTACGGGCCTCAAAATTTCACAACTGAGAACAGTTTCGCAAATGGAGGGCGTGTCGCTTCCAAAATGCGGCGCTCGCATCAGCGCCGCGCACATTCGTTCTAAATATTTGCAAGAGCGTCACGGATTGAGGGCGGTTCGTCTTCAACATGTTGCTCTCTCCTTAGCGCCGCGCACATTCGTTTAAAGCATGTGCAGCAGCTTCACGGATGGAGGGCGGTTCGTTTTCGAAATGTGGCTCTCGCCTTGGCGCCGCGGACATTCGTTCTGAAAATGTGCAAGAGATTCACGGATTGAGGGCGGTTCCTTTTGAACATGTCGCTCTCGACTTTGTGCCGCGCAGAGCTGTTAAACCTAATGTAGCCACTAACCCCGACCTTGGAGGACAAGTGGGTGTGACTTGCGAGGAAGAGAAACCAAAGAAGAAGAAGAAGAAGAAGAATAAGAAGAAGAAGAAGATGCCTATAGGGTACATAATGCTGATTCCCGTGTTGTCCGCTTGACGCTGTGCCGCTTTACAGCGCATTCTGCTAGTTCCCGTGTTGTCCGTATGACGCTGTGCAAGTTGGTCGGGGCGTCTCCGACCATCTTGGAGCCCTCTTGGGCAGCCTTCGGGCTCTGGGGCGTCTCCGACAACCATCTCGGGGCCGTCTTTATTTAGCAGTCTTGGGGCCCTCTTGGGGGTCGCTTGAGGCTTCCTGGGGACTTCTTGGAAGCTTCTTGGGGCCTCTTGGGGCCTCCTGGCGGGTTTATGGACGGAGAACCCAAAATGCGGGTCCGTGCTCCCCCTCAGGGAACCCTGTTGGGGTGTTCCTGTAGGCCGTTTTGGACACCTCTTGGGCCGTCTTGGAGGCGCCTTGGGCCGTATGTGCGCTCTCTTGGGGGCGTCTCAGGCCGTCTTGGAGCGATCTGTAGGGCCTCTTGGGCCGTCTTGGAGCGTTGGGAAGCCGAAAAGGCGAAAACACGAAAAACCTTGGAAAACCTAAGGAACCTCAATGAATTCTGACTCTTGGGGCTCTTTTGAAAGGTTTCTTGGAGGCCTCCCAGGGCGTCTTTGGGGCTTCTTGGGCCAATGTGAGGCCATCTTGGGCGTCTTGGACCTGTCTTTCGGCAACTCGTGGCTCTCTCGGACCATCTTGCGGACCATCTTGGGGCCGCCCGTGCCGCACGGAAGCGAGTCTGCCGAAATGGAGCCGTCTTCCGCTGGTTTCCGCCAGCGTTCGCCGCGTGGTCGGGGCCATGTCCCGGGGGGTACCCCCCCAACCCCCCCCCAGGGGAACACTAAACGGGAACCCCTCCGCAAGGTCGGGGAAAAAAACACGCAAAGCCTTCACGGATTCAGGGCGATTGCTTTTCAAAATGTGGTTGTCGCCTTAGCCCTTAGCGCCGCTAACATTCGCTTCAAGCAGTTAGAAGGGTTTTGCTGATTCGTATGGCTAACGTACCAGACATGATGTTTTGTAGCGGATCTGGACTGTCAGGGCGCAACAGTTAAGCTAAATCACGGTGCTGAAGTCCCAGGGATGGTTTTTTTGCACGGATCAGGGTCGTCAAGACGCAGCAGTCAGGTTGCCTCGTGGTGTTGACGTCTTGAGAGTGTTCTGGCTCGTTGCAGGAGTTTCGCATGATTGTCCCCCAACGGTGCACTTCCCTCAATGGAAATGAATCCTTGTAGGGGCCTGTGAAAAGGAAACTTGGAGGGAGGGTGTTTTCCAATACCGTTGGTGAGTCTTGGGTTTACACTGGTCCTCCTCCTCCTCGTCCTCCTCCTTCTCCTCGTCATCCTGACCATCATCCTCATAGTACTCATAATTCTTACCATCGTCATCATGGCTTTCCCAAGCCTTGAAACACGACGTGCCACTCGTGACCTCCCGTGCCCCCTCGAGGAGTCACCACCCAGAATGCTGGACAGACAGCTGGATCGCATGCGAAAGAGGAGGAGGAGGAGGACGAGAACAAGGACGACGACGACGACGAAGACGACGAAGACGAGGACGAGGAGGGCAGGAGGACGAGGAGGAGACGAGGAGGGCGAGAACAACCAAGACAACGATAAGGACCACTACGACCACAGCGACGACGAAAATGACGAGGACGACGACGACGAAGAAAGGGACGAGACCACAAAGACGACGAAGGCGACGACGAGGACAAGGACCATCCTTCATGTTCCCCCCCATCACCTCCCCCTTATCCGCATCCTCCTCAACGTCGTCAACATCACCACCACCATCAACATCAACTACAACAACCTCTTCATCGTGCTTAGTCATGTTCGTCCGCCTGCTCCCACCCTTCGCTTGTTTCTGATTCTTTCAGTCTTTCACCTCACTCCCCGCGTTGAATTCACGGCAGCAGTGGTTGAAGCCCCAGAAGGCCTCAGCGCCACGGACCTCGCGTGCGACGAGAGGCAAAGAGCGGAGGATGGCGAGACATGAGAGAATGGACGATTACCACAGCCGTCGTAATTCCTGCAACCATTACCGCCCTGACATTCGTCATCACTGGTGCCATTGTCGTCACCAACGCCGTCCATAACCATCGTAATCACCGTGACAATCATCGACATCATCATCGTAATCGTCGCCGCCATTGCCATCGTCTCCGTCAGCGTCGGCACCACGGCCGCCGACTATCAGCATGGGCAGACACTAAGAGGTACGTGCATGTACGAGCGCACATGTCCGTGAGTGTGCACGTGCGCGTATATGCAAGTGTGCCATGCATGTATATGCGCACACGCACGGGTAAGGACTGACGCTCGCACGCCCATGCGAAAGGTGTAAGAGAACGAGCATCAGCGGGATAGCCAGAAGGGCACCCGAGGCGGCGGGGGCAGCTCGCGACAGTGTACGAAGCTCAGTTCGGCGTCCGCGGCAATCGTGCCGACCGATCCGAAGCGCCAAGGCATCAGGCCCAGACGAGGTCGCCGCCCGCGGAGACGTCCGGCACTCCACGGATCGTGCGCAGCTCGTCTGCCCACTCCCCCCGCGCGCGCTCGGGGGGCGAGCGGCGTGGAACGCCTCTGTCGAGCACGCGACGGGCTCACTTGCTCCCGCGGCGACTGGGCCTAATATCGGCCAGCAGGTGCGAAGCACCTCCTTGTGAAAGCGCAGTTGCCAGCGGGCCCCGTCGGCCATGGTGGCCAACGAGTGGCCAACGGGCGCAAAGCTGCCCCTTCTGATAGCACGCGTCGAGTCGCTCCGGTCTCTCCCGCGGCCGCGGCCGCGACCGCCGCCGCCTGCGGCCGCCGCCGCCTGCGGCCGCCGCAGCCGCTGCTGCCGCGCTGCTCCACCAAAGCGGCGCCTCGGCGGCAGGGGCCGGCGGCGACGGCGCCGCGCGGCGGCCGCGGGGGCAGCCTCCCAGGCGGGGGCGCATGGCGCGGCAGAGGGCGCTGTGGCCTCGCCCGCCCGCACTTGGCCGTCGCTCGACCACCAGAATCGGGCGCCGACCCTCCGCCACCTGCGGCGCCACGCGCCCCGAGAGCATCGGCCGACCACCCGCCCCTCGCCAAAGCTGGCGCGCGACCTCGCCCGCCCAACTCCGCGCGCAACCCCCGTGCCCCGCGCCCCGCGACGCACGGGCACCTTGCCGCCCTCGCGGCCGCCGCGCTGGTGAACGGCAGCGGTCGCGGCCCGGGCGTGCGAGACTAGCTGCTTCGAGCATAGCACTAGCAGTGAGCCGACCTCGGCGACTTCGAGGTTGTAGACTGGTGCCGTCGGCGAGTACAGATCCGATGGCAGATGTATGCTGAAGGGCTCTGTAGCTGCTCAACGGTCAGGAACTTTTGCTTAGCGTGTCGCGGCGGCGGCCTCGGCGTGGATAGCGTGTCGCTCCGCTCCTCAGGGCGAGGGGATGGGAAAAATTCGGGGCGCTGAAGCCTGAGGACCAAGATGTGGATAGCGTGTCGCGCCGAAGCGTGGTGGACCAGAACCGACGGCGCGACACGCTAAGCCAAAGATCCTGACCGCACGGTGAGGGCATTGGATGTGGAACCCTCGGATGAGGAATACAGGGTTTGACGCCAGCAGAACACCAATTACGGCTTGGCCAGGGATATCGCCGCCGCCCTCATCACATGAGGCATCCTCCAAGGCCCGAAGCCCCCCGGGCGCATCCCTTAATGAACGCCCCCCCAGCCGTATTACCCAGACCCCCGACGTCATGTTTTTGTCCATGACGTCGACCCCGAAAGTTCTCGACCCACTCCCTGGGACCAGCCTCTCATCCTGAGTCATTGTTTGCCAGTCCCGAGGGCGGCCAAGGGGCCCCAGATGCCGAAGACAGCGAGCAACCTCCAGCCGAGATTGCTCCCTGACTCGAGGTCGAGCCTCACAGCTCGGCCTGCAGCCGACGCCGACGCGCAGGTCGCAGCCACGCCCCGCCGCGCCGACCTGCGGGTGGCCTTGGCAGCGCGGCCTGCGCTCCCCTCGGGCGCCGCGGCGCCGGGAGGCCGAGCACTTCGGCCGCGGGCCGCCACCGCCGACGACACACTGCCGGAGAGAGCGCCCGCGCGCGCGCGGTGGGGCAACGTGCTCATCGAGTAGGGGATGGACTACAGAATTGATTTACCGCAGACTTGAGATCCCCGTCGGATCTGCAAAACCAATTCCAACGAGTCTTCGCAGACCTCCGAGCACTCTGCACCTCAGTTCGCGGACCCTGCGCCACAACACACAGCTGGATACCTCAATGCTGCAGTCGATCTCCTGTTCGAACTCTCGGCACCCATCGGCGCGCGCGAAGACCGCAGCGCGGGGTGCGCGGGGGCCTCGGGGCCCCCGGCCCGCGCCGCGTCGGGCCGAGAGCGGCGCGCTCTGCCGCAGGCGCCGGCCCTGGGCACCAGGTGGAGTCCCTGCCCGGTGCCCGCGCGCAGGCGCGTCGCGAGGGGCCCGTCTGCCCCAGAGCGGGGGGTGCTCCGGGTGCCCCTGGCCCAAGGTGCAGCCAGCTTCTCGCTGACGTTGGGGGGCTCTGGGGGCCTCTGGGCCTCGTGGGGGCTGCCCTGGAGGCCGTGGGGACCTCCCTGGAAATCCTGGGGACACGTTGGGCCAGATGCTCTTTCTGGCAACACCCGACCAACAGGGCCCCGAGAGGGGCGAAACGTCAGCCTGGAGCTGGCAGAAGTGCATCAGCGCGCTTGCATCGACTGGCCTGCTTATCTTGGCTGGATCTGCCGGCTGCAGGCAAGATCGACCCTGGGCAACAGTTACCGTTTAGAAGAAGAACAAACAGCATAAACATCAATGTTTGGCGCTCCGCGCGGATTTCTTGGATCTGCGCTGGACCCCCTCCCTGGTGCGCAGAGCGCGCCAATGGTGGCGCCCGAGGTGCCGCCAGGGCTCTCCAGCGCAGATCCAAGAAATCCGCACGGAGCGCCAAAAGTTTCTGCTTACGCTGCTTGTTCCCCTTCGGGAGAGTAGCCCTGGGCAAAAGTGAGCATTGCTGCGCGGCCTGCCGATCGTGGCGCGCGGTGCCGCCCACCAGAGATATCAGCCCGCGAAGGGCCACCCTTGCGGTGCCCGGGCAATGTCCAGGGGGGCCACCACTGGGGGACGCCACTTCCTCGATGGAGCGCCACCTCCTCTAGGAAAATGTGCGCCGAGAAATCCACTGGTCCGAGCGATTTCAAGTGGGGCACCCAGGACCCTCCAGCGCCCCCTAAAATGGCACCCTTCCTGCGGCTCCGGGACCCTCGCGGGCTGTTCGGACTCTCGGACACCTGCAAGGGCGGCATGCCTCCACAACTTGCTAGTTCCAAAAACCCTGAATCCAAGCATGTTGACGTCACACGGTTGCGTCCGCCGAGCTTCAGCCGGCGGACCCGCCGAAAACTTACTTCCGTCGGCTTCCGAGAAGTCGCCTGCGCACTTTGGGCATACCCCCGTCGTTGCCCGTCGTTAATTACCCCCGCGGAGAAATTGCCTCCGACGGCTCGATACATTCGAGCTGGGGCCCAATTTTTCATCCCGTGCCGCGTCTTGACGGACAGGGAGCGCCCGAAAGCGGCCTCCAGAGGCCTCCAAAGGCCACTCTGGCAAAGTAGTTTCGAATCTCATCTCTGGAGGTCTTGTGTCGCCGTCGTCGTCACCGCCGCCGTTGACGCTGCCGTCGGCAAGGGGCACCTTGCTCCAGAGGTCGACCTTCTCTTGGGGCATGGCCCCGTCCTCGCTGCCGCGCGAGGTGGCTCGCGTAGCGGCCAGGAAGAGGGGGTCGACAAGTAGCATCCAGCCCGACAGATGGAGGCCTTCCCCCTCCTCGTCCCCCTCTTCCTCCTCCTCCTCCTCCTCCTCCTCCTCCTCCTCCTCCTCCAGCCCCCCGTGCTCAGGAGTTCTTACACCGGGGGCTGGAGAACCTGGACACTACCGCAGGCTCCGTTCGCTGCAAATGCCTCCTCCAAACACCTCCGCCACGCGCGCACCGATTACATCTTATATCATGCATGATCCGTTATTTTCTTCTTTGCGCGGGCGTGGGATGGATGTTCACCTTTGTGCACAAGAACTGCCAGCGTGCTGACCTCGATCGCCTCCATGATATCTCTGAGGAGTTCATGAGTACGTGCATTGTTGCGGTCGCAAGTGGCCTGATGTATCATTTCGTGCTCAGGTGCGGTTACCTCGCTGGCAGTTTTGTGAACAAGTCGTGTGGCATTGAACTCCTGCTGCGCAAGCGTGTCTTCAAGAGGCGTAATGTAGCGCATGTCCTGACAGTGCCAGCGGCCCCGCAAGGGAGAGCGGCTTCCCTCCTGGAGGAGGAGGAGGAGGAGGAGGAGGAGGAGGAGGAGGAGGAGGGAGGAGGAGGAGGAGGAGAAGGAGGAGGAGGAGGAGAACGAGGAGGAGAACGAGGAGGAGGAAGACTACAGAGACTACGCAAAGCTCTAGCGGAAAATTGATAAATCCTATCCCTGTCTGCCGTCATCGGCAAAGACTTCCCAGACTTGGGATGCTTGCCTTTGAGCACGGAAAGGAGGACTCGCCTTCTGCTATGGGGCGAGTCTTTTGGGGTCAGGGATAGGGCCCCAAACGCCTTCCCCACCCCGACGGACCCGTAAGCCCCGCACCGCCGACACCACACAACCGTACCCGTGGCAGTAGCGTCGTGTGGGGCCGCTGGCCGAGGGCGGCAGCGGCAGGCCGAGGGCGGCAGCGACAGGCCAGCGCGCGGGTGCTGCCCTGCACAAAGGCGCCCCAAGCGGGGCCGCGTCTGCGGTTGGGCGGCCCCGAGGCTGGGCTGCGCGAGGGGCCGGGCGTTCGCGCTCGAGTGCGGCCCGCACTTCGGGCCCGCACTCGGCGCAGAAAAGGAAGGAACCCACGTTCCACACGCGATGGCCTCCTCCTGGGGCGCACAAGGCGGGGGAGAAGGCGTCGCGCGCCCTCGCGACGCGGTAGCAGCGAGCGCATCGGAAGCCCTTGCCGCACGGCACGGGCTCGTGGGAGCAGTCGGGCGGCGTTGTGTCCGCCGTCAGCTCGGGGACGCGACCTCGCTGCTGCGCGCGCCGCAGGAGGCCGCGCCGCGGTGCATCCTGCTGGCTCGGGCCCACTGTCCGCATGACCCGAACCAAGAACTTGGCTACGAATGTCACGGGGCGAAAGGTGCGCTTCACGCGCTCCGTCGCCGCCTCGTCGGCAGGGCGGAGGGAGGCGCCCTCACGAGCGCCACGGTCAGCATAGTGATTGCCCCAGCGCTTGACCATCCCTCGCTCGACGTCGCCGTCCTGGCAGCGGCGAGCATGGCCTTTAACCTCGAGCGCTTCCACCCCACCGACAATGTCGCCCACCCGATCCCATGTCTGGGACCAGGGGCCAGCGGCCTTGCACTGCGCGCCCGTCGTCTCGGCGCGCCCGCGTGCGAAGCTCGAGACGACCCACGCGCAGTCCGAGTGGAAGCGGAAGGGTCCCAGCGCTGCCGTCAAGTACATGAAGTGGGCGAAGGCCTCCGCGAGGTCCGACGCCTGGCGCGGGCCTGGACGCAGGCCGCACAGGGAAGCGACCGTGGAGCCAGTGGCATCAAACTGGACCACCGACCAGCCCGCCCTAGCGAGTCGCGGGCAACCCTGGACTGGAAACGCGCAGGAGCCGTGACCGATGGCCTCGTCTTCGATGCTACCCTGGTCAGGACGCTTGAGCCATTTGACGAGGGGGGGGTCGCGGGGCCAGGCGCAAAGGGCCGAGGGTCAGGGGCCAGGGCGTGCCTCCGGAGGACCCAAGCTGGGCGAGCCCCCAGGTCGGCCCGAAGAGCATGGGGAAGGTCGCAATCCCGCACGAAGGCCCAGGTCGCCGAACACTGACCCGACACCCAAGCAGAAAAAGACCCCTGGGCAAGACCCGGCGCCACAAAGGGGACAGGTCTGGATGGTCGCGAGACCATGGCGATGTTTCCGAACCTGATCCCAAATACCATTGGCCACGATCGCACGGAGGGTCGCCCGATGGCCCGAGGCCCAGTCCGGCCCCATCGCTCCGTCGCAAAGTCGGGGGATGGGGGGCGAGATAGGGGCGAGGGGGAAGGGCGGCTATGTATTCGGAATTCTGCCAGGCACGATCCAACAGCCAGTCCTCGGTGCTCAAGCGCACGAGGCGGAGAAAGGTGCGGGGGCAGGCGGCCGCGAGATCAACATTGAAGCCCTCGCCGGCTACTAGCGGGCAGACACCGGGGACGAGCCTCCACCCGAGACGTCTACAGCAAGCCAGGGCAGCAGGAATCGGGCCGCGAACCAGGGCCCAGTCGCTGCGTAAACCGGCGCGGGCCGCATGGGCCGAGCCCGCGGCAAACGGAAGTCGGTGGCATCCCGGGGGAACCACGACTTCCAAACAGCCTGCGCAAGCATGCGGATCGGGCACACGGCGCTCGCATACGCTGGGTCGACCTCGGCGCCGATGGAGAGAGACGGAAGTCGAGGGTGAGCGAACGGCGAGCGGCGCGAACGAAAGGGGCTGAGTGCGCGGCTCGCCGCATCGGTTTGACCCCACTCCACGCCCCCCCAGCCCCCCCGTCGCCCCAAATACCAGCAGGCGCGAGGCCGAGCTAGACGAGCTGCTGCGTTTTGCCCCTCGCCGCTCGGATCACTCGGATGCGCGCCACGCGCCGCGCTACCGCGGCCATCCTCTTGGCCCGCGCGGCGCCCCCCGGCCGTCGGCAGCAAGGTTCCTGGCGGACTTGCGACACTTGCCTCGCAGCGCAGCGCAGCGCCGCATGACCTCGCGGCTGCAGTCGGCGTCGTTGGCCAGCACAACGCCTCTGCCATCGTTGACCGCCAGGCTTTCCTCGAGAAGCCCGCGGCGCAGCTGGGCGTTGGCGTCGCTCGCACGCGCAGCCGCGCACTGGCCAGGCAAATCTGGGCAAGCTGGACGTCGTCGACCACGTCGCTGACCGCCACGGCGCGGAGCGCGACGATGGCGTCGAGGCGCGGCACCAGGACATCTCCGCGCAGAGGTCGGGGAAACTGCAGCCTGCCACAACTCCGGGCTGAGGGGCGCAGGCAGGCGCGGCCACGCCCTGGGAGCAGACGACGCGCGGCATGCCGCGCAGCTGGAGGAGGAGGCGCAGCAGCACCAGGTTGAAGTTCACGTCCTTAGCGCGCTGGGAGAGCAGTGCAAACGGGATGTGCTCGCACGCCTTCGTGAGATCCACGAGGACAACGCGCGCTGCCTGGCCGCGGCGGGGCGCCACCTCCGCGGCAGCGGCCTGCGCCCGTACGCAGGTCTCGCAGCTCTGGCCAGCAACGCGGGGGCCCGGGGAAGAGGCCGACGGTGCGGACGCCGTTTCGGGCACAATCAGGAGCACCATCAGCATGGCCGCCAGCGCGCGCGGCACGTGGCTCAGGGCCAGCATCAGGCGCCCCACCTCGACGCAGGCCCCCAGCGCCGCGTCCGACAGCAGCGCCACGTGACGCGGGTGGAACGCGTCGCAGCCCCGCCCCGTCGCGCGCGGGAAGGCGTGGCCCACCTGGCGGGGCTCCTCGACCGCCGGCAGGGTGGGCGCCGCGCCCTGTTCAGCAAGCCACTGCACAGCCTCAAGCCCAATGCACTCGCCTCGAGGCGCGCACCACGGGGGGGCAGAAGCCTCGGCGACGAGCTGCGCCGACTGGATGCCCGCAGTCGGCTGCCAGCGCGCCTCGGCCCAGGGCGCGGCCTCGCGTATCCAGCGGAAGCCCTTGCGCATGCCCTCGGAAGAGGTGGCGCCGCGTGTCCAGTGCAGCCAGGCCTTGTAGCGTCGGAAGGACGCGCGCCCCTCCGCTGCCGTCGCCGCGCGGTGGAGGTCGGTCAGCAGCTGCTCAGGTGCTGGATGCGGCGCACTAGGTTTCTCCGAGCCTGCCAGAGCTGCAGGTCGGAGCCAACAACAGGAGGCTTGAAGCGGAGGAGTATCGGCCAGCTGGAGGACGCGCCACTCGCGAGATTGCTCGGCCAGCTAGCTCCAGTGCTGCTCGGAAGGGCCAGGCTCGGCGGCGGGCTTCCAGTGGGTGCGCCGGCGACGCAGCTGCACCTGGACCAAGCGGGCGCCCTCGCTCCTGCCGCGGTAGCGATCGGCCTCCGTCCCTTCCCCGAGACCGAAGTGCCGCGCCAACACGTCCTCGCGGCGGTCGAGGACTCGGCGGCAGGCCGCGTCGAGGGCGGGCGCCGCGTCGACGAACTTGAGGTCGTCGAGCACATCCTGCCAGTCGGGGGCTGGCAACTGCGGCCCACCCGACGCTCGGGCAGGGCAGGGTCGCGGACGTCGAAGGCGCGCGACCAGCGCGCCCAGGGGCTGCAAGGCTGGGCGGAGGGCAATCCGACGTAGCAGTAGTCGAGCTCTCTGGCTCAGGTGGGCGCCACGCAGGTCGCTTGACCAGAACGAGCAAGCCTCGCGCCGAGGGAGGGCAGCAGCTGCGCTTATTTCAACACATCGGGAATCATGTTCCAGTCGGCGCCCACGACGAAGGGCCGTTGCATAGCCCTGACCACCGAGCCCAAGTTCATCAGCAGGTCGGAATTGCCGTCGCCGAGGTCCTGGCTCGTGCGCAGGACGGAGCAGCGCACCGAGACGCGGCCATCGGCGAACTCGACGCGCTGGGGTGGGCCCAGGGGCGGACCAAGATGCCGACACCAAAGGAAGTGCATCCGCGCCCCGTGGCTACCGCTGGGGCGAGGTCAGCCACCAACCCCGCGAGACGCGCTCCGCGCACTGC